TTAATAAGGAAGGAGAAGAACAGAAGACTACCTTGGAAGAGTGAGGCATATTAGATCCAAAATATCCTCACCATTTGGCATCATTTTAAGGAAAAAAGCTTAGAAATTGATGATGATTTGTTTTAGATCTTGTTAGCATTGAAGTTATGAACATCTTGGTCCCAATCATGGTGATTCTTGAGCATGGCATGCTCTTGATCAAATAATTTGTCCTTTCAGACTCAATGAGGGTTCTTAAGTCATAAAAATGTGATCTTGATGCTTAGTTCTTCCCCATGCATGATCTAGATAGTCTTAAGGTGTTAAAAAGTTGGGGTTTTGTGTATTAAGCACTTATTGGGCATGCAAAGTCATAAAGTTGGAAAGTGTGACTTCGGTGTGTACGTTATGCATACCTTTGTGTAGACCGAGCGTACGAGGTCAACTTTCAATCTCGGTCAAGGATCGAGTACGCCCCACCAACATCCTAAGTATGCCCCACATACGAGGCATGAGCTGACTCGACGTTGACTCGTTGACTTTGACCTCTGACCAGAGTTTTGACCAAGTTGACCTAGGGGTATTTTGGGTATTTGAGTTGTTAATTAAATATTAGGTTCTTGGTTTTGGTTAGGTGATCGTTGATCCAATATTCAGAGCAAAGCTTTATTCAGTTTGCATTCCAACTGAGAGGTGAGTTTTCCTTACTGTGCTTGTTGGTCGAAGGCATCAATGTTGACCCACTAGATTGTGTATCCTGATATATAGGATGTTGTTATGTTGTAGTATTCCGTAGATATGTTTGTTTTTTTGCTGACTAGTCTTATGTTCATTTGTTGCTAAATATATGTTAATTGCTATGTATATGTCGACATGATATGGTGGGGTCAAGACTGTACTGCTTTGTGTTGTCAGTCTACAAACCGAGGCATTCTAATCAAAAGGTTGTGGGTTGGACCTATGATTTATCTGGTTATATATTTATGTGGTGGTACTTTGAGGGAACTCACTAAGCATTGGCTTACAGTTTTAGTTTGTGGTTTCAAGTACATCCGAGGATCATAGGAATACGAAGGCGTGATCATACACAACTTCCTATTTTTATGTCTTCGCGTCTGGGGAAAACTCTGATTTGAAATAATGCTTTCTAAACAATGACTTTTTTTATAAACAATATCGATTCATGGTTGATTTTGAAAATTTTAAATTTATGGTGATTTTTTTTAGTGTTACAAGTTGGTATCAGAGCCTTGGTTTGAGAGAATTGGATGAGATTTGTTGTGAATCTAGACTCAAACTAGGGAACTACAGAAGTTTTTAAACTGAGTTTCAAAATTTGTTTTCAAGAGTAAACAAGGAAGGATGTTATGTGTATGATTAGCCATAGCAAGAAAGTATACCCTAAATTACCCACACTGTTATTTGTTATTATGTTTATGACAGAACAACATGCTAGTGGTAGCTAGGGAACTTCAGAAATTGCATGATATAATTTCCTGATAATTGATGCCTGATAGCCTAGGACTCTTTCTTGTAGGGAATTGACATCATTAGTGGAGTTGCTTGGTGTATGCATCATAGTCGTACATAATTAAGATTATATATCCTGGGAATGTTTGGTTTGGCCTTATTTCCTATTCTTGTCTGATTAAGGGCTTAGGGTAGAATCGAGTATTTGACTGTTTATAGGATCCAATGTTATGCATGATTAACATACACGAGTGTTGCAGAGTTGGTGGATTCATGGATGGTTTTGTGTGAGCAGTCGACCAGTTGAGGAATGTCTAGCTTTTCTCTAGGGAGTGAGAATAGGTTGTATATGTATTCTACTATGTGCTTTTAGGGTTATTGGGATGATCTTTGAGGCAAATACAGGTAAGTTTGGAAGGTAGTATGGACCTATACTAATGAAAGCACAAGACCCGCACGCGTAGTAGGGAAGTCACAACCCATAGGGGTTTGTTATTTAGAATATCACATATGGTATGAAATGCACCTTATATGATATTTTATGGTTTATTTTCAGTATGGTGGTCACGAGGAGATTCGAGTCAAGAGCTGGATCGAGTGGCCAGGATAGGCCAGGGCTGACTGAGGACCAAGTTAGGGAGATTATTCATGTTGAGGTTGTTTCTGTTGTTCGGGCACAGATATCGGAGTTGTTTGGGTCTATCATGACCGTCATGATGGAGTTCTTTGACAACTGTTACACTGCACTTTCTGAGGCTGCTGTTGCTGGAACTACCACAACCATTGTCATCGCTAGGTTTCATGGGGAGAAAGGCTTTCAGTACCGGATTTTGATAATACGAATCCCCCGGTATTCAATGGAGTTCAGGACCCGATTATTGCGATGAAGTGGTTTTCCAATGTTGAGAGGTGTTTCTTTACATGCCCTTGACCTGCTGACCAGAAGGTAAACTGTGCTCCGAACCTTCTTCAGTCAGGGGAAAAAGACTGGTGAAGGTTGGGGACTAGCTCGTACACTCCGGAGAACAGGGCTACCATGTCTTGGGAACAACTCTCTGAGATGTCCCGCTCAAGATATTTTCCATTGGTGGAGCGGAAGAGGCTGGCTCAGGAGTATTTGGATCTGAGACAGGGGATTGAGTCGGATACTGAGATCACCAATATGTTTACGGAGAGAATTATGTTGTGTCCTGAGTTTGTTGCTTCTAAGCAAGCTCAGATGACTCGATATCCACACAGTGTTATGGTACACTTATGGAGCTATAGGAGTCCATGAGGAAGCGAGAGATTGAGATAGAGCTCCATGTGAGAGAGCGGAGGCGGGCTCTGGTTCTGTCACAGCCTGTGGCGAAGCGGTTCAAGACCACTAGATTGTGTATCCTGGTATATAGGATGTCGTTATGTTGTAGTATTATGTAGATATTTCTATTTTTTTGTTGACTGGTTTTATGTTCATCCGTTACTATATATGTGTTAATTGCTATGTATATTGTAACGCCCGTAGATCCGGGCTAGTCAATTTAGAGACGATAAGCGTCAAAAATGACTTTTTGATGGAAGATTATTTAGAAGGAGTAATCTTAACTAAGTTGTAGTATATGTTACAAGGATTGCGTGCATATAAAGAACGCCAAAATCCGAATTATAACGAAGAAGTTATGACCCTCTATACCCTCTATAGTCATCCCGGTACCCTCTATAGTCATCCCGAAGTACCCCCGAAGCCCCGGTTTCATCCCGAGACCCGAATCAAGTCCTAAAGCCCGAAGATCCCGAGAAGTGTGATTCCCGAGCCGAAGCTCTGCCCGCGAGAAGCCCGGTTTTTGTGAAGATCTTCCAGATCTACCGAAGAATACTACTTCTACAAGCCGTAGTGCTGTCCGATCATCTTCTGATCAAGTGAGTGTGTGGTCACTTTCTTCTAACACATAAATATTAAGTATTGGCTATGAACTACGTGTTATGCGTTTATATATATTGTTGTTTATATGTGTGAGTGTATAGTTACTTTCTTCTAACACATAAATATGAAGTATTTTCTATGAAATACATGCTATGTGTTTATATATTGTTGTTTATTTGAGATAAGTGTGGAATGGATGTTTTATATAGTTTTTTTTTAAATGAGTTAAACTGTATATGTATTTTATATCTACAAATATGTTGGGTAGAACATGGGTAGATGAAATAGTTGGTATGTGATAAAATGATGAGGTATGAAAAATGATTAAGCATAATATTGGTAGATGCACCAAATAGAGAATGACATAATGCTAGCAGATGCGCTTAAGCATAATATTGGTAGATGCACCTAATAGTGAATGTCATAATCCTGGCAGAGGCGCTTAAAGGATAATGTTGGTAGATGCACCATCTGTAGCAATGGAAGTTTGTGCTAATTCCTTAGGTCAATCCTTAGGAATGAATGAAGGAAGGATAGTTGATTAATAGGGTAAAACCTTGAGAAATAAAGAAGATAATGAGGATGGGTAATTAGGTTGATTGTTTGATGATTGAATATAATAATTATATTATTGTGGGTTGAAAACCCTATATGCTCACCAGGCTCCCAAGCCTGACCCAGTCAGTTTTCTTTGCATTACAGGTAATGGCACAAGAGTATAAGTTGGTGGACTTGATGAGAGATTTTGGATTATAGATCAGTAGTTATAAATAACTGTTGTAAGGTCTATTTTATATTGTTTATGCTTTTGGTCTGTATCGGAACATGACATCCCGAGATTTTGTTATTTAATGAAAATACATTTCTTTAAAGAAATGCTTTGATAAATTCTTATCATATTTTGTTTTGGGAACAAATTCCGCAACCGTTTTCTTTAAACGAATACTCTAATTTATAAAACAAAGCATAAACAAATCGGTCTTTTCTGGCAGTGAAATTGGGGATGTCACATATATGTTGACATGATATGGTGGGGTCAAGATTGTACTGCTTTGTGCTACCTGTCAACAAACTAGGGCATTTCAACCGAAAGGTTGTGGGTCGGTGCCTTCTAACCGAAAGGTTGTGGGATGGGGGTACTCCAACCAGGAGGTTGTGGACTCAATATGTATTGGCAATCCAACCAAAAGGTTGTGGGCTGGGGCATTCCAACCGAAAAGGTGGTGGGTCGGGGGTAATCTAACCGGGAGGTTTTGGACCCAATATGTATTGTCAATCCAACCGAAAGGTTGTGGGCTGGGGCATTCCAACCGAAAAGGTTGTGGGTCGGGGGTAATCCAACCTGGAGGTTGTGGACCCGTGATTCATCTGGTTATATGTTTGTGTGGTGGTACTTTGGGGGAACTCACTAAGCTTTAGTTTATAATTTTAGTTTATGGTTTCATGTACTTCCAAGGATCGTGGAAAGGCGAAGGCGTGATCGTACATAGCTTCTTTTTTTTTTTTTTTTTTATGTCTTCGGGTCTTAAGAAAAATCTAATTTAAAATAACGCTTTTGAAAAAATGACTATTTTTTGTAAACAATATTGATTCATGGTTGGTTTTGAAAATTTTAAATTTATGATGATTTTTTTAGTGTTACAATCCGATGTCTAAAGGGTTGTGGGCTGCTATTGCTCAGACTTTTACCAAGTAACATGATCTTAATTTAATCTATCATGACTCAATCCATAGAAGATTGGGAAATAGTGTTCATACTTATTTTTGGGAAGACGTGTAGGTTGGGAATAATATTCATTCGTCATTCTTTCCCTAGATTATATAAGCTTGAGGTGTTTAAAGATTGCATGGTGGCCGATCGATGGGTTAAGTCCAATTGGGTGTGGGGTTGGTGTAAAGAAGTTAGAGGTGGATGTAGGCATTTCAGTTGGATGGTTTGGTTGATAGGTTGGCTGAGGTGGTTGTAGGATTGGAGTTGGACTCATGGGAGTCGAATTTGGCCCTTGATGATACATTATCGATTAGCAATACTAGGCAAATGATTGATGACCTAACTTCGCATGTGACCACGGTTTCTACATGTTGGAATAAATACATCCTGATAAAGATAAATGTTTTCATGTGGCGGGTTCTTTTGAATTGCATTCCAACTAGAATCAATTTGAGTAATCATGGTATTGACATCCCGTGTTTGTTTTGCCCTTTGTGTGACAATGCGATGGAGGATAGCAATCATGTTTACCTTTTATGTGATATTGCAGTCCAGGTGTGGAATGCGATTGCTAGATGGGTGGATTTGACGTTCCGTCATCTGATCAATATTGTCGAGCTTATGTCATGGGTTGACACGGTTCCATTATCAAGTAAGAAAAGAAACGTGTTGGAGGTTATCATTCTTTCCACTATATGGATCTTGTGGTGGCTCAAAATTAGTGTATTGTTCCAAGCTTCGAATTTTCCTAAATGTCTCATTATGGATTTGATTGTTCTCAATTCTTTTGAGTGATTTTCTTTTAGAAATAAGAAAATTTTGATTCAGTGGTCATTTTGGTTACAAATCCCTTTGATGCACATCTAATTGTATTTGTTTTTCTAGCTTTTAGCTAGTTGTTTATATAATCTTTCGGTTGTTAAAAAATGACAAATAGATTTAGATTGAAGTACTTTATTTACCATATTTAAAAATTCAAAACTCTAGATAGCACTAACTAGATTTTTGGCTTTGGTTTATTTATTTATTTATTATTATTTTTTTATTTTGGGTTATCACATCATCTAATTAATTCTATCAAAGCTAGTAATATTTGAGTAGCTAGAAATCTAATCGTTGCAACACTTTTAATCCTACTTTTCTAAGAGTATTAGATAAAGATTTTACGGTTAAAGGTTAAACATTATCTAACAATATTTTCCATCCTTTAGAACTAGAAAACAATGTATATACGCATCACACAACACCAAAAAACGACACAACTTTAACAAAAGAAAGTGACTTATCACTAATAGTAAGGTTAAAATATGACAATCACATGACATATATACAACTCTACAATTAATTTCAAGTAGTCGTTTGTTAACCCATTGGTGTTTCTTTATCATATATAAATCATTATCATAACCTTATCTTTACATCATTCTGATCAAGATATTTTCAATGCATCTAAGAATTCATTAAAACAAATCCCAAATCAGAAATATCACCTACTTTTTAAAAATTCCAAAAAAATATCCAACTACTTGGATTTTGTTAGAAAACAAATTCATGCACCGTACAATCAAGGTAATTTGTTCTTGATGACTAAAATTTTGAGTATAATAAAATTTTATAGAAAAATATTGTCTCTTTAACTATTTTAATCATAAAATTTAAAATTTCTCACCAAGTGACTTAAAAGAGAAATTTGTTTAAAGAGTGTTCGACAAAACTAGCTGGTAGCGATTTGTTAAATGTTATGGGCAAAAGCTTTTAGATTTAGACGTTTTTTAAACTAAACTCTAAAAGCGTGTAGTGTCAAATAGGACTTTTTGTTCAAAACATAACGTTTTGTCAAACGTTAGAAGATAGAAACTCTCAAACGCTCTGTGTCAAACACGCCAAGTCGAATTCCCGAACCAAGATAATGATAATGATTTTCATATTTTTCTATATGGCTAACATGATCTTATTTCTCTAAACATTGCAAAATGAAATTCAAACTTTTTTTTGTTTAATTATAGTTGACAAAACAGGTTTAATTCGTTTTATATTTTCAGAAAAGAATTATAATGAAAAATATAAATTGATTCATTCATATATGAACTCGTATTTTTGTTTCATAGTTTGGTTTTCAAATTGCAAGATGTGTCGCATAAGCATCCATAGAAGGTTAAAGGCTTACAGCCCTATCTTTTTATTGATAGATACATGTCAAACATGAGTCCTGCTTCTTGGCCAAAAAAAAGTCTCATCTTTACAATTCGTCTTACAAAATGGATAGCATAAGCTTGTACAGATGAGTTTTGAGTGGTTGGAATTAATATTTTTATCATATTGCAAAATATATTATACTCGTCTAAACAATGAATATATCATAATCTTTTAAACAAGTCGTCTCACAAATTAAAAAATGCGATTTCATTTTTAGGAGTTTGTTCGCTTGAATCTATTAAAATTCAATTAAGAATCCAAATTGACCACATTATTGTCTCTCACTGTTTGATTTCATTGAGTTCATTTTTTAAAAGACGTGAATATCTCGTTCGAATCTAATGAATTCCTCTAAAAAAGGAAATTAAAAAAAAGTTTGAGTATTTTTGACAAAATTAACTGGTAACTAGTACTAATTGATAGCTAATAATTTGGTAGTTGGATTGTGGAGGTTAGAAGATGTAGTATTTTTTTTTATATAAGTGTTCGGTAAAAATAATTAAAAACTTTTAAAATACATAAAATGAAATTAAAAGATATATATATATATATATATATATATATATATATATATATATATATATATATATATATATATATATATATATATATATATATATATAAAATACAAGCATGATTTTAGAAACGGATAACTAAATCAATTTGTAAAAATATAAATGAGTTTTTTGTTAAAGCAACTTGAATTAGTTTTTTGATTTGGATATTTTTGTTTAAGATAAAACTAGAAAACTCGAACCATCAAATAAAACTTTTTTTTCCGTCAATTTTCTTAAAAGCTAAAACTATGTGCAAACACATCCAAAATATTTTTGAAATGAGAAAATGCATCGAAATCCAAATTAATTAGAATATTTCATATTACAATTTTTTTTTTGTTATATTTCTTTTGCAAGTAGGTTCAAAAAACTATAATGTAAATCATGTAAAAGCATATAAATATTTTTCTTATTTTTTATAGAAGTTATAGAATTTTCATCTACTATTTTTTTTTTTATTAAGTGATAGTTTATAAAAAAAAATCCATTACTTTCCACCGCTTATTTCGAAAAAGATTCTAAAAAATTTGCCACGTCTTTAAAATTTATATTTTATATTACATTTTAAGAAAATATTGTCTTAATATATATATATATATATATATATATATATATATATATATATATATATATATATATATAGACCGTCTTACAAATAACGTGCTTCATCAAAATTTGTAAAAGTTTAAGGTTTGATATTACCTTCGAATCAAACTTAACATTATTTAAAACCTTCGTTTCAAGTTTAATATCCATGACATGTTTAGATATAAGTTAAATTAGGTTTTTTTGGAAACATTTCTACCATTAGGTAGAAGTAAAATAATTTAGTTCTTTAACCCTTAGAAATATTCAATTTCATAGAATTTGACATAATCTAATTCCATTAAATCAAATTCCATTAGTTTTGCCTCAAAAACGTTATCAAAAATATAATTCATTATATATATATATATATATATATATATATATATATATATATATATATATATATATATATATATATATATATATATATATATATATAATGAGTTTAATATCCATGAGTTTACTATTATATTTTATATTTACTATTATTATATTATAGTTATTATTTTCATATTTTTAGTGTATTTGTTTTTTTATTATTGCTATTTTTAATTATCACTACTATTATATATATATATATATATATATATATATATATATATATATATATGAGTTTTACTCTTATATTTTATATTTACTATTATATATATATATATATATATATATATATATATATATATATGTATGTATGTATGTATGTATTTGTTTTTTTTTGTTTATTATTGTTATTATTAATTATCACTACTACTACTACTATTATTATTATTATTATTATTATTATTATTATTATTATTATTATTATTATTATTATTATTATTGTCATGGTGTTGTATAATTTGCAGTTAAATTGTAACTCCATCTTATTTTTTGTAAAACCTGACAAACAAAACTAAAATTTTATTTAAATTTCATAATATAAAAATTTGTTGACAATTTCATTGTATTGAATATTGAAAGACATCATTCATCAAACCAACCATCCATAAACCGTACATCATTAATGTTTAGTAACTTGGTGGATTTTTATCTATGCTTAACATGTTACCGACATATATATACATATAAAGTTAACAAAATATAATAGGAAATGTCACTATCTTTTTATAAGCAAAACCTTAAAATGTAACTTTTATGCATTATGATAGATTTTTATTTAAAATATCTTGTACCAAATGCAAAACCTTAACACGGAATAATAATTATGATCAATAAATTTTCCATTTCTGGTAATCATAATACATTCTTTCAATGGAAATGGCTACGTCTAGAAAAAGATGTCAAGAAAAAAAAACTACAATATTAATTATTAATATTTTATTGTATAAATACTTGTGACTCAAAATCTATAACAAAATATGGTGTGTCGTCATAGCAATTAAGGCAGTGTTTGCAAACGCATAAACGCTGGTAGTTCATCCACTTCAAATAGTCAATCCTTTCTCACCAATCCTTCTCTTTTAATATCATCGCCTCATTTCATTCACAAATCCACCATGGATCGGAGCAGCCGCACATGGCAGTCCACCGCCGTTTCTCATGCATCTCCGTTTATCTTTGCAATCGTCGTCTTCTTTCTTGCTTCTTCTTCGACTTCCGAAAAAGGTTTGTAACTGACCATGAAGCTTATTGAATAGAATTCATTCAGTACGTTATTAACTCAGCATCGTCATTAATTCGTTACTCTTTATTAATTTCTTCACAGCTCCATACCCCACATTTGCAAAAGACGCAACGAAAGCTCCGGCGGTGTCTTCCTACGATTACATTGTAGTCGGTGGTGGAACTTCCGGTTGCGCATTGGCAGCCACACTTTCACAAGGCGCAAAAGTTTTGGTCCTTGAAAGAGGCGACTTGCCATACGGCATCCCATCCGTGAACACCATAAACGGGTTTATCACCACCCTCGCTGACCTCACTCCGACCTCCGCCTCACAAACCTTTGTGTCCACCGATGGTGTTATCAGCCAGAGGGCTCGCGTCCTCGGCGGTGGATCTGCCCTGAACGCCGGGTTCTTCACCAGGGCGAGTCCTGACTATGTTAACAAAGCAGGGTTCGATCCGAAACTGGTGAAGGAGTCGTATGAGTGGGTGGAGAAGAAGGTGGCGTTTGAGCCGAAGGTGTTGGCATGGCAGGCGGCGGTGAGAGATGGGTTGTTGGAGGTCGGAGTGTTGCCGGATAATGGATTTACTTATGAACACATTTATGGAACTAAAGTTGGTGGTAGCATTTTTGATGTGAATGGCAATCGACACACAGCTGCCGATTTGTTAGAGTATGCTGATCCAAGCAACATTACTGTCTTCTTGAATGCAACTGTGCACCGAGTACTATTCAAAACCGATGGTAAACACATTAATTTCTACGTACAATCGTCACTAGCTATATATACAAAGTATTAAAATGAATTATATATATATATATATATATATATATATATATATATATATATATAT